TATCTACACATGGATGTGCCTTTAATAGAAATGCACCTTTTCATACGGACTACAAAATTAAAGAATATTACAAAATCGAGTGGGCGAGTTTTACTTATATTTATTTTATTATTCTTATAAAAATTATAATAACCTCTCTTTTTTCTTTTTTTTTATTCCTCAGTGTTTGCTAAACGTTCTGTAATTTATTAGTCATTATAGCCTAATACAGCGTGTAGGCCTATGCCATGCCTCATCGTATTCGTTTTTGTTAATAACGTTTTGTAAGCTTGTCATTGACTCTTACTGTTTTATTGTTGCTGTTCATTTTAATTAAAAATAATGAATCCATCTTTTTTTTTTGTCAGCCTTTACGCCAGTCTTCAGTGTCACATAATCCTTCAGAAATCATTCCAATATGTTGATTTATTATCAGTGCTGTTCTTTTTAGCTTTCTATTCATAAAAGAATCCTGAACAAAATGCCACATGTTCCAAAAAATATTTCCAAAACTGTTTCCAACACTGGTAATAAATCAATATATTAGAATGATTTCTGAAGGATCATATGAATCTGAAAACTGGAGTAACAGCTGATAAAAATTCTGATTTGCATCACTGAATTAAACTATATTTTAAATTATATTAATTATGTATTATATATGTATAACTATATGTATATAACCTCTGACACGGAGAACAGTGAAAACTCCTCACATGACCGCTACTGAACATCCGAACATAATGAAACAAATGTACATTGACGGATCTTCTTCCGTCTGTTCTGCAAAATGTAAACAAATTTAGATTTATGTAAGAGTAAATATTGTGGAAATATCAATATTAATTGTGTCTAGGCAAAGGCATTCCTCCTGGAACAGAGCTAACGCGGGTTTGGAGGGTGTTTATTTCATAGCTGTGACAGCGTATTTAATGTAAAAATTATACATTGTATTTAATGTATAAATTACACATACAACAAACTGGTAATGTCATAGTGGTACCATGTACTGTAATCGACCCGTAGACAGCACACGCACGCGTGTTCATCTCATAAAGATCTTCATAGCTAGCAAA